CCTAATCCTAACCCTTACCTTAATTGAAATCGGCTTTCTGCCGTGGCGCCGTTTTAAAGCGCCCTTCTGTTGCCGCGCTGTGGTCGCGGCAGTGATGATGCACGGTGATGACATCGCGGCTTTAGCGCCGCGATTTTATCACCACGATTTTGACGAGCGCGGTTTTGTCGTGCCACGGTGTGAGTGAGTGGTGGGTTTCAAAAATTTTTAGAACCTCTTCTGTAGGTGTGGCCTGCTTTCCTGGTCCACTGGTGGAACCTCTTCTAGCCGGTTCGGTAGATTTGACGAGCCGGTTCTACTGAATAGGTAACTGGTAGGAACCCATCTCTGACCCTTTCCATCCCCAGTTGTCTAGAATCAACTCTGGCTTGTGGTCTCATTTCTTAAAGCCACATGACTCAACCCAGTGTAGGGACTGTCGTGTGAAACTGTGGACCTATTTTGATTTGGTCTGTTCATACATCCAATTGACACAAGGAAGACTGTATAGATTTGCTCAAGGCCGCAGTTGCATAGTTGCAGCCACCATCTTGACTTTTTTGAAACCTGCTGTGGATGATCCTGGGAAGGAGGGGCCTATCCTGCCCTACCATCCTCCAGGCATTAACAGCTGGTTGAGGATGGTAAGAGGGACGCGGTGGCTCAGTGCCTAAGACACTGAGCTTGTCGATCAGAAAGGTCGGCAGTTCAGTGGTTTGAATCCCTAGCGCTGCGTAACGGAGTGAGCTCCTGTTACTTGTCCCAGTTTCTGCCAATCTAGCAGCTCGAAAGCACATAAAAATGACAGTAGAAAAATAGGGACCACTTTAATGGGAAGATAACAGTGTTCCATGCGCCTTCAGCGTTTAGTCACGCTAGCCACATGACCATGAAGACGTCTTTGGACAGGACTGGCTCTCCGTCTTTGAAATGAAGATGGGCACCACCCTCTAGAGTCAGGAATGACTAGAACATATGTGGGAGGGGAACCTCATGACACAGGGCGTTTGATGTCACTATTCTCAAAGGACTTATCTAGCAGCGGGTGATGCTGTGCAACCATATGCTTCATCAGTTGTAGATTGCCATTAATGCACACTAAGCCCACAAGACAAAGTCTGACATAGAAAAGAGGAAAATCTACCTGGGAATTGCTGCAAACATGAAATAGGTCACCAGATGGTGCCAGGGGGCATCTGAAGCTACCCTCCCATTTGGAACAAATCAGACAATCCAGTCAAAGCTCAGCTTTTGGTGCTCTGGCAGGCACATCTGTACAGTGCTCTTTGGCCACAGAATGCATGTTGTGGCCTTGTTCTGGGAAGCTTTTTTAATGCCCCAGACAAGTCTATAACCATGGAAAAGCTTCCTAAATTCCCATCTCGGTACTAACTAGATTCAACATGCCTTTGCTTCTGATCTTCAGATCAGGTTAGCCAAGTGCTGCCACCTGCCAAAGCTCATTTGTTACAAATACCGTATTTTTCGGAGTATAAGATGCAACTTTTTCCCTCAAAAAAGAGGGTGAAAATACATTGAATATAGCATTTTTGGCCTCCTCAAACTCCACCCCTTTTGCAAAAATGACCATGCATAGCCTTTAGGAGGCTTCCAGAGTACTCCTGGGGGCTGGGGAGGGCAAAAATGAGTGAAAAACAAGCTATGCATGCACTTTTTTTGACAAAAACAAGCCAGTTTCTGCAAAAAATGGGCCGTTATTTGCTCATTCCCCCCACCCCCAGCCTCCAGGAGCACTCTACAAGCCTCCTAAAGGCTATGCATGCCCTTTTTTTGATGAAAAACGGGGCCGTTTTGGGGGGGTCTGCAGAGTGCAAAAACTTTTTTTAAAAAAATTTGCCTCTTCAAAATCTTGGTGCGTCTTATACTCAGAAAAATATGTTAATCTAGAAACCAGTCCTTGTGTCAAGGTTCCAACTGGTGAACCTAACCAATTCAGCACTCCGAGAGGGACAGCTTTCTCAAAAGAAGTGTTTTATTGAGTACGCACCAGGCGCTTTGAGAAAATCAAGTGTAAATCAGGCACTGTTAGAATAGGGATAGAGAACGTTTTGATGAAGGAGGCTTGCACTACATTTTTAACAGCCTGGCGCTGGAATGGGTGAGACAATGATGCTAAGATATGTTCGCCCACATAACACCGATCCTCCGTGAGCTGCACTGGCTACCTGTCGATCTCCGGGTGCGCTTCAAGGTGCTACTAGTCACCCATAAAGCCCTCCATG